TTCGAGCTTTCCAAGGCTTAGGACAGCTGGTTGGCTATGGATGGGTTATTCTCAAGATAGCTTTAGACCTATTAATTAATCTACTCAGTCAGTCCAATTAGTTTTCAGCAGCATGTTTGTGAACGTCTGGACTTCTGCCCTCCCAGCCGTCTCCATCACAACCCTCTCCGTCTCCCTTCGAATTTTCCATTCAACTCTGTCTGTGATACAACAAACCAGCTTAGGCGTCCACAATGATGCTAGCTACATAGCTAGCTTTTGTGGAGGTGAGACAGAAAAAAAAAATTATTTTATATATTCTTATTTTTCTATATATTGTTGGACTCACATGTTCCTCCTTAAGACTCTTGGACTACGTGAAATATGTCAGCTATTTGTTCGTCACTGGTAACTACTCTCTCTTCTACTTTTTTCTTGTCCACGTCAGAATAGCCAGCTAAATAGCTAGCTCTTGGGATGCCCTTACGGTCGTTGATATAGTTTAAGCAACTACAGATTAATTAGCTGCTGTACTTTAAAATAAAGTGTATGAGATATATATAGTCTAACGTCACACTTTAGTCAGAATTATCAATTTCATCTCTGTCTCAGAGATTAGGATTGGACAATGCTACAAACAGTCAAATTAGATCTTTTGAGACCAGCTTACTATCTGGATAAAATTAAGCAAATCATTTGGTTATTTGGCAACTTGGCATGCATATAGACCAATGGCCTTTGTTGACTGTAACAGGTGGTGGTGGCGGCACATGTGCACGATTTGCTTTTGAGCACGGTTCTCGTGTTTGGATATGTATATAGCTAAGCACTCCACGTGGCTACACGTGATGTGTTTTTTGAGTATCATTAGTCGTGACCTCAGCTCCTTGCCGATAAAGTTTACGTATCTATAATCTATATATAAATCTCTATATAGTTTGTACCCACTAACTCTAAAGCTGAGCTCTTATACAACCACGTCTATCAGAAACAAAGTACTTTTCTCGCACCACACATTGGTCGACACATTGGTCGATAGTAACCGCAACGCCCACGACACATTGACCAAAAGTAACAGTAACACATACATTTGCGGGTATCTTAAGGGACCATACATGCGCGTCTTGCCTTTTTTATCTTGTGTGGTTTATCATATATATGCACTTACAGGTGGTCCACTACGGCCTCCACATCGTAGATGATATATAAGAAAGACAAGAAAAAAGATATCTATAATCTATCTATAATAATCTTTATTAGTTCATACCCACTAACTCCAAACCTGAGCTCTCATACAACCACATCATCAGAAAATAAAATGCTTTTCACCCACCACACATTGATCAAAAGTAACAGTAACGCCCATAATCGCCGGGTAGCCCGATTGGACCATGCATGCGCGGCTTGCCTTTTTATCTTCTGTGATTCATCATATATACACACTTGCAGGTGGTCCACACATAGTCGACGATAAGAAAGACAAGGAAAGAGATATCTATAATCTATAATCTCTATATAGCCACTAACTCTCTCTAAAGCTGAGCTCTCATACAGCCACACCATCAGAAATAAATTTTTTTTCTCCCACCACACATTGATCAAAAGTAACAGTAACACCTATAATTGTCGGCTATTCGAAGGGACCATGCATGCGCTACTTGCCTTTTTATCTTCCGTGATTCATCATATATATACGCACTTGCAGGTAGTCCACACATCATAGATGATAAGAAAGACAAGAAAAGAGATATCTATAATCTCTATATAGCCACTAACTCTCTAAAACTGAGCTCTCGTACAACCAACATTCGGTGACGGGTGCCTCCTCGTTGTAGTAGGTACCGTTGTTGGCATCGCGGCTACCTTGTGCTTCACTGTGGCATCAGCATGGTCGTTAGTATAATTTTCTTCTCCCCCGGCAAGTCGGATTTTCAGAGCAGCAGGGCCAGGGCCCCGGATTTCACAGGCGTCCGCCATCTGTACAGCCATGACCCTAGCTCAAATCCACCATGCATAACATGCTCTCCAACAAAATAAACTACATCATCAATAGTGAGCTTCATCGGCCATTCTTCAACCGAGAAGTTTCTATCAATTCCTGTGGTGACGCACGGAGATTTCAACTAATATAAATTGTTATACATGGCACATTAAAGTAGTCGGTAGCATAATGTTTCTTTATTCTTTTTTTTCTAAAAAACCCTGAAAGTACATGGTACTCCTATCTTTTAGGTCTTTAAGTAATAATAAGTATGTAAACTTAACTAGTAAGGTGAAAAGGACATTAAACCTCACGTGACAAAAACATAAAATAAGATAATTTATTGTTGCATATAGCACGTATTTAGCAATGCCTTCCCAAAATACTCTTACCGAGGTATGTTATGCATGGTTTTATATTTTCTTGTGGTTTCTTGACCAGTACAACAGGTTTCACCCCTTCAGCATTTCTTCTCGTATTGCTCCATATCAACCTATCATCGAGTACCGATAGAAAGCATCGTACCATGGCTTTCGTTCATACGAACAACCTCCTACTTATTTTATTTATCTAAGGATTTAAGATTCACGAAAAATGATACCCACTATGTAAAAAACGATTTTTAGCAACGGGACGAATTTTTTGTAGGGGCGGCTGGTGATGAAGCCGCCCCTACAGTGGCGTGCTCGGGAGCCCAGACACCAGCCGCACCTACAAATGGAACAGCAGGGACGACTGGTGATACGAGCCGCCCCTACAAATGGGTCTGATTTGTAGGGGCGGCTCACTCACCAGCCGCCCCCGGTGTTTCAATTTGTAGGGGCGGCTGGTGATTGAGCCGCCCCTACAAATGGCCGCGTATTATTACCTGCTATTTGTAGGGGCGGCTCAATCACCAGCCGCCCCTACAAATGACCCACATATAAAACAGCTGCAACACCTTCCTCCTCGGGTCACTCACTCCAACCCGTGAAAGAAAGGTCGGGAGGCATTGGGCACCTCCCAAAAACTGCTCTACTAAGGGGGGAAGATTTTTGTCTTAAATCCTTTGATGCAGAGGTTGTAGAAGGTAAAAAAATGCTATTTCACATTTTTTTTGAAGTTTTAATGGTTGCTTAGTGAGTAATTAAAGTTTTGTTTTTCTCTCTCTTCTATGGTGCTTGAGCTACTTATGAAACAAATTAGACTCAAGTTTTAAGTCTACTAGGATAAATTAGGGAGGGGAACAAGATCAAATCCTTATTTGGTCCATGTTTCTTGATTTTAGTGAACAATTAGTTAGTTTTATGCATGTTTCATGTGCATGTAGATCTAGATTTAGGGTTTGGTTTTTTTATTAATTTTATTTTTGTAAATTTATGTTTGATAAAATTAGACTAGGGTTTGTATGAAAGATATTGGGTAAAGTATAATTGTTGCTAATTGTTGTCTTTGAAATTGTTTATTGTAATCAATAAATATGTATTTTAATTATTTATGGATAAATGGACAATTAATTAATTTTCCTCTACCATGGTGTGTTTGTATGCTTCATGTAATTATATTAGATTTATATTCATATATATCTGAAGTATGTACAATTATTCTCAAGTAATTATTAATTTGATTCATTTTTATATATATCTGAATAAGTAGTCCATTAATCATTGTTTTGTTGTTGTTGTAGAAAATGGAGTACAGGAACTATTGGATGTATGATTCGTTAAGGTTCAAGGCATGTTTTCGTGAAGAGGTGGATACATTTATTGAAGCCGCAAAGAAGCATGCAACGACATTGAAAGAGAATAAGGATACAATTATTTGTCCCTGTAAAGATTGCAAGAACCGTATGGCATGAACAGATGTGACTATCATCAGATCACATTTGATTATGCGAGGATTTGTTGAGGATTACACAGTGTGGATTCATCATGGTAAAACGGTTATTGTTAACGATGAGGATGAGGAGGAATATGACGACGAAACCATAGAATTCATGTCCCAATATTCAGCAGAGCTTGATGCACGAATGGATTTCGAGTTTGACAATGAACAAGGTGATGATGCTGGTGGTTGGGATGGTAATGACGAAGGTGGTGCCAATAATGATGGTGGAGCACGTGTTGAAGATGAAGATGATTTGGAGGACATGATTCGAGCCCTTGGACCTAAGATTTTACTAAATAGCTCGAAATGTCTAGAAAATTTAGAAAGGGTGACAAAAAGCATCGAAGGAGACTGTGTATGGTGTTGAAAAGGGATGTCCAACACATTGGACATTGCTACGTTTTGTGCTTGAGCTGCTCATCCTGAAGGCTAAGTACGGCTGGTCAGACTGTAGTTTCAATGATCTATTGCATCTTCTCTCATGGGTGCTACCACAACCAAACTCAGTTCCCGCCAACACATACCAAGCGAAGAAGGTCATAAGTCCATTGACAATGGGGGTTGAAAAAATCCATGCATGCCCCAACCACTGTATACTTTTTCGTGGCGAAACGGTCAAGTCACTGGATAAATGTCCCCGGTGTGGGGCCAGCCGGTACAAGAACAATGATCTTTACGGTGGGGGCGAAGCCTCCACGGGGAAAAAAGAGAAATAAGAAGGGTACAAAAAAGGTGGTACAAGAATCTCAGCCCCCAGAGGACACTCCATTAGGTAACGATGCAAAGCAGAGAAGAATTCATGTCTTGGTAATGTGGTACCTGCCAGTGACCGACCGCTTGAGACGTATCTTCCTAAACCCTAAAGAAGCCGCACTCATGACATGGTGGGATGATGAGCGCAAGGTGGATGATGATAAGATTGCACACCCGGCTGATTGTAGTCAGTGGCAAAGGTTTGATGAGAAGCACAAAGAATTCAGCAATGACGCAAGGAATGTACGGTTTGGCTTGAGCACCGATGGAATGAATTCCTTCAATGAGAGGATGAGCGACCACAGCACATGGCCAGTGATCTTGACCATGTACAACATCCCAACTGGGTGATGTGGGAGCCAAAATGGGTGAAGGAAGACGCAACCAATCAAGCTCCTAGAGGCATTGGGAGTTCCGACACCTAGGCCCAGTTCCCACCAAAAGGCCCGCACGGAGATCCTAAACACAACAAAAATCAAACTCAAGGATTATGCGACAGCCATGATTAGGGATTTGACCCGCAGACAAGAGTTGCATAGTGAGTTTGGGAACATGCGAAACAGTAGGAATGTTAAACGAAGAGGTCGAAAGAACACCTCTCGCAACAACAGGAAGAGAAGTGCCATTTGCGGTGCGAATAGAAATAGGTGGATCGGGGGAAGATAGAGAGGACAAGTGTGTTGTATGAGGTGTCATATGAAAAGAGGCACTAGAGTCGAGGAACCATGGGGATGATATACCTGACGGAGGAGGAGTAGAACTAGAAGCCTGAGCTGTAGTCCCGTGACCAGAGGCCTGAGCTGCAGTAGTGAGGCGACGAAACAGGCCAAGAACCTCCTGCTCCGCTGCAGACACAGAACGAGTGCTCTGTGAAGTAGAGGAACCACCAGAGCCTTGAAAAGAGTGTCTGCCACAACGCCCTGATCGATCACGCTGCTTCTTGCGGCAATCCTTCTCCTCATGACCATAGATCTTGCAGTAGCCACACTGAATACCAGAAGGTGCCCCTGTCACCACATGAGAGGTCTGAGATGGAGGCGGAGAGACCTAGGGAGGTGTGGCTGCTAGGACGGAGGGCTACGGCGGAACACGAGTCAGACCCCTAGCTCAAAGACATGTCTCCTCAGCTCGTAACATAGGAATCGCCTCTAAGTGCGATGGGCGCGGACGACGAGTCAGCAACTGTGTTTGAACAGTCTCGAACTCGGGTCCAAGGCGAGAGAGAAACTCGTGAAGGCAAAGAATGTCTCTCTGGTCTCGGTGACGGTCACAGCACTGGCAAGTACCACCACCGCAGAACTCGGTGCCCAAACTGTCTAGGCGATGCCAGACGGCTGTCATCTGACGGTGGAAGCCCTCAACTGTGGAGTCAAACTGACGAAGCGACTGAGCCTCCTCAACAACAGCAAGGTACATCGCTTCGTTACGAATCTCGTAACTGCGACAGAGGTGATCCCACATAAGGTGTGAAGTGGCAAGACCTCTATGGAATAACGAGAGATCGACCTCCATGCTCGCAAGTAAGATGGCCTTAGCAGATTTTTCCTCGCGTAGCCAAGTCTCATAGACACCAAGATCAGACTGGTAGCTCTCCATCTCAGCCTCAAATGCCTCAAGTAAATCATTCTTGGCATCATCATCAGCATCTGGCGGGTATGTGGGCGGTGTGGGAAGAAGAGGACGGGGAGGACAGATCCGCTCACCCGTGAGGTAGCCCCACAGCAGTTGCCCATCCATGTGGACCTCCATATGGAAAACAAAATCGCCCCAATTGGTGCCATTGAAAATGACGGGGCACCGAGGGACCAGAATAGCGTCAGGGCGTCCGAGGGATGCCATGGAGGAGAGAACGAGCCTCTCTGCTGCTGCTGCTGCTGCTTCGTCTTCTTCTTCTTTTAAGTAGAGAGGAGAGGAGGACCGGCCGGCTCACTAGGCACCAGACCGACACACGGGCGCGAGTGAGCGGCTCGCTATACAGGCGCGGAGCAGGGTCGGTGTCCGCGGCGGCGTGGGGACGGAGCCGCAGGTGGTGGGGCAGAGCAGGGCCGGTGTCCGCGGCGAAGGGAGCTGCGAGGCCACAAGGGGCGCGCGGGTGGGAGGCGTCCGGCGCGCAGGGCTACTCGGGAGGGTAGCGGGTGCGGAGGGTGGTGCGGTGGCGCGGGAGGGCGGCGCGGTGGCGCGCGATGGCACGTGAGTGGTTGGCGGGCCAGCACGGGCGCGAGGCGCGTGCAGCTGGCGCAGGAGCCGCGCATGCGGGCGGATGGTCGGGGCGGAGCAGCGCGAGGGTGGGATGCGGAGGCCGGCGGGGTTGGGCAGAAATCGCCAGCGTCGCTTAGCAGCAGAATGTAAGGATGGAAACCCTAGCTCTGATACCATGTTAGAAGGACTAGAATGAGGCCAACCGGCCGTATTGCAAGGCCTAAGAGGGCAAGTATACACAATGTACATATACAAAGAAGCCCTCCAAGTAGAGAGAAAACACATACACCTCCTATACATCTAACAGCCACAACGACAATACGGAGTAGACGTCTTTATCAAAACTCAAAAGGCAGCATTATGCATGGAAGTAGCAACCATCAACATTCAGCAAGACAGCAACGGCCATGTATTTCGACAGGCGACAGTATATCCCCGTCGATCCGATTCGATGGACGAGGAATAATAAGGATCGTCACCAAATCCATCTCAATCCGCCGAGCTGAGCACCCTGCCAGCTGCCTGCGCCGAGGTGGGAGGGAGTTCTGAAAAGAAGAAGATGCATACCTGGAGACTGATATGGTGAGATACATGCATACCTGGAGGCTGGAGCAGACCTGCAGAGGTTATCCAGCTAGGAGGGCAGTGCACCAACCAAACGGTCTATGAATCTGCCATGTTATCTGCAACCGGGCAACACGAGTCAACGGCGATGCATGCACATGCACACGCAGCCACGCGCCCTGCATGTGGTTAGCTCTGCTCCCTCATGTCGCCGTCTGGCCTGTTCCACCATAGTTTGGCTGCTATTCATCCTATTTGCTTGATCGTATCAGTCATGCTTATCAGTTCTGATATAGTGTTTTTCTCTCACAACAAAACAATATCAGCTGGCTTATAAGGCCTGGTTTAGTTCCCAAAAATTTTCACCCCAAACTATCACATCAAATCTTCGGCACATGCATGGAGTATTAAATATAGACGAAAAAAACTTAATTGCACAGTTTGGTTGGAAATCGCGAGACGAATGTTTTAAGAATAATTAGTCCATGATTAGCCATAAGTGCTATAGTAACCAGCATGCCCTAATAATGGATTAATTAGGCTTAATAAATTCGTCTCGCAGTTTTCAGATGAGCTATGTAATTATTATTTTTTTGTTAGTATCCGAAAACTCCTTCCGACATCCCAAAACATCCGATGTGACATCAAAAATTTTCATTTCGTGAACTAAACAAAGCCTAAACCACAGAAACGATCAACCCAAGAGGGTTAAAGCTTCTGGGAGTAAGTAGTTCGCTGCTGTTTTCCGCAGTTTGATCAATAATGCCCGCGGCGTCGCTTTCTGTCCCTGCCGACCGACGGCGCCCACCGCTCCGTGTCGGGCGTATGACCGAGGTTGAGCGAGTCAGTGCACGAGCCCCGCTCAGTCAGGCATGCAGCCGGTGCTGGTAGGCTTTGGAGCTTGCAAGTTGGCCGCATGCACCAAATCGCTTTCTTAACTCATTAACAAACAGCTCTCTTAACAACAACTCAACGAGTCAGCTTCATTCATGACAAGTCTCGATCGCTGTCAGCGGATAAAGCCCAGCGTGTCAGCAAGGCCGAAATGAAATGGATCGACCACTGTCGTCGTTGTGTATTTATTGCTTTCCTTTTGTCGTCCTGGGCAGAGCTTTCGGAACTACTGTTAGGCTGTGATCAGTTGTAATCTGTTGGTCAAGTTGTGATGTAAAAGAATGATTAGCTGTATTGTTTTCCTGCGGTAGATATAGCCACGTCGCCTATAGTAACGTACTGTATAAAATAATGATTAGCTGGAAATACAGAACAAACAATCAGCTAAAATATGTTTAGTTCTATCTAACCATCATCATAGTCGGTCAAAACATTGAGGATCAGTGAACCATGCATCATCATTACCCGTTTAATCATCATGATTACGAGTGTGCGCGCGAGAGCAGGAAGCAGAGCAAAGCGTAATGGACCGGATTCTGAGGCTACGCAGACACGCCGGGTCCACGGCAGACGACATCAACATGCCTGATCTCGCCACTCACGGAGTCAGTCGAGTCAGATTCTCGGATCTCGGACTCACGGTGGCCGCCCATCCTCTTCACCTTTATACCCAGCACAGTGGTTGCTTCTGGCTAGTTGCCTGTTCGCCTGTTCGTCAGGGTCGGTCCCCAATCTCACCCATAGGCTGCAAAAGTGAGCTATTGTTTCTTTCCAAATCCAAGAAGAGATGCCAGTAAATTAATTAATTTGTTTAGGACTGAACATATGTTCCTGGCAAATTTACGGTTCTCTCGTTTGCGTTTGGTTCGAGGACGAAGTTGAATAGGATATGACGATATATGGATGTTGAGATAAGTATATCCATGGTGCACGTTTAGTTGGATGGATGTGATAGACTATTTTTCTGTTTGGTTAGATGGACAAAAGTGGATGGGATGAGAACAGTTGATTAATTATATCTATCATTTAAAAATAATAACAACTAATTAGACACTAATAAATTTGCACTAATACTATTTTTTTCATGATAATCACTAATTTAAAATAAAATATGTTAATTAGCACCACTAATATCCTAATTAGCACATGAAACATGCACTAATCAACGTATTAGCACTTAACAAAACTAATCCTACCATCATAATTATTAAGTAATAATGTAACATATTAATAATCCTTAAATTATTTACTAATGACAAAGATTAGAAAACATTGATAAGCTAGTCCATCTGATTTATTCGGACCACGAAATTTAACGTCTATGTGAAATATTCCCTATCTATCGATTTTCTTATCCTAGTGATCCACCAACCAAACACCGTCCCATCCTATCCATAGTGATCCAAGCAACCAAACAAATGTACAGTACAGTCCATGCTTTCACACGTTTGTAGTTCTCGGCCTGTTTAGATTGCAAGTTTTTTCACTCTCTTTCCATCACATCAAATCTTTAGACACATGCATGGAGTATTAAATGTAGATAAAAAAATAACTAATTACACAGTTTGATTGTAAATTACGAGATGAATCTTTTGAGCCTAGTTAGGCCATGATTGAACAATAATTGTTAAATACAAATAAAAATGCTACAGCGTTAAATACTAATTTGTAATCCCAATTTAAACAAGACCCTCCATAGATTCATATGCTTGTGCTTCGAGCTTTCCAAGGCTTAGGACAGCTGGTTGGCTATGGATGGGTTATTCTCAAGATAGCTTTAGACCTATTAATTAATCTACTCAGTCAGTCCAATTAATTTTCAGCAGCACGTTTGTGAACGTCTGGACTTCTGCTCCCAGCCGTCTCCATCACAACCCTCTCCGTCTCTCTTCGAATTTTCCATTCAACTCTGTCTGTGATACCAACAAACGAGCTTAGGGCGTCCGCAATGATCTTTTGTGGGGGTGAGAGACAAAAATAAAGACTATTTTTTTTATATATTGTTGAACCCATATGTTCTTCTCTCAGACTCTTGGACTATGTGAAATAGATCAGTTATTTGTTCATCGCTAATGACTACTCGTTCTTCTATTTTTTTTCCTGTCCACGTCAGAATAGCTAGCCAAATAGCTAGCTCTTGGGAACGCCCTTACTGTCGTTCATATAGTTTAAGCAACTACAGATTAATTAGCTGCTGTACTTTAAAATAAAGTGTATGAGATATATATAGTCTAACGTCACACTTTAGTCAGAATTATCAATTTCATCTCTGTCTCAGAGATTAGGATTGAACAATGCTACAAACAGTCAAATTAGATCTTTTGAGACCAGCTTACTATCTGGATAGAATTAAGCAAATCATTTGGTTATTTGGCAACTTGGCATGCATATAGACCAATGGCCTTGTTGACCGTAACAGGTGGTGGTGGCGGCACATGTGCACGATTTGCTTTTGAACACGGTTCTCGTGTTTGGATATGTATATAGCTAAGGACTCCACGTGGCTACACGTGATGTGTTTTTTGAGTATCATTAGTCGTGACCTCAGCTCCTTGCCGATAAAGTATATATATATATATATATATATATATATATATATATATATATATATATATATATATATATATATATATATATATATATATATATATATATATATATATATATATATATATATATATATATATATATAGCATGTTCACTTGTTGGTTTTAGTCAGGGTTTATCTGCCATGATACGTTGTTTTTTCTCACAACAAACCAGCACCAGTCGAGCTTATCAGCCCAGAAACCAACCAGCGAACATACTGATAGTTTGCACCCACTAACTCTAAAGCTGAGCTCTTATACACCACGTCATCAAAAATAAAGTACTTTTCTCGCACCACACATTGGTCGATAGTAACCGCAACGCCCACGACACATTGACCAAAAGTAACAGTAACACCTACAATTGCCGGGTATCTGAAGGGACCATACATGCGCGGGCTTGCCTTTTTTTATCTTGTGTGGTTTATCATATATACGCACTTACAGGTGGTCCACTACGGCCTCCACATCGTAGATGATATATAAGAAAGACAAGAAAAAAGATATCTATAATCTATCTATAATAATCTTTATATAGTTCATACCCACTAACTCCAAACCTGGGCTCTCATACAGCCACAACATCAGAAATAA